TTCACGTTCTCCCCGCTCCCGTCGAGCTCGTGCATCGCGAGCCCACCCAATTACTAGGATACAGATCGTTAGTGATTTCCAAAGAGATTCCCTGGGTACAATGCGAGCCCAACCTCCGACGAACATCCCCCTTTTCGACCCCCTTTGCTTTCACTGGCTCGTCGTAATAAATCGCGCGTGTATCTGTAGTGCGATCGTGGTTCACTGGCTTTGAAGCTTCGCCAACAACAACAATAACAACAACGACGACGACGATAGATGTCGTTTCGAAAATAAAATGGCACAGAGGAAGAAGCTGGTGATAGCAGAGTGTGAAAATATGAAATATAAAAGGCTAAAGAACAGCAGCAGTTACATAAAGAACCGATAGAGACGTCAAGGAACGCACGAGCTCGATCAAAGGTGACTGTACTCGCTTTGATTCCACCGATTGGCCGGGTGTGCACCTTGTCTACGGAACTATTGTACCTACGGAATCGTCGCAACCAATAGTTGTAGCACGCGAGTCGAGAATTTCGTCCGCTGTAAAATCTCCAATTCTTATTAATGATCTCAGGCCGAGTTTCGACGATGCGGACTTTCGTTCGTCGCAAGTTGCTCGTTGACAGTTCTTGCGAATCGAATGGAGATCTCGTAGGATTCAACGAGAGAACAACGACTTAATTTCCACGCAATTTCCAGCCGCGCGTAGATTTAGATAGCGAAGGAACTCCGAGGCAGACTTGTCCGTGAGTAATTGCTATTTTCTTGCCTTTAAATCGTGCCGCGGCGAGATTATTATTCATGAAACCGACCAAACCGCCATACTGTCGATCCGTTTCGTCGCCACTCGTTCAATATTCGCGTAACCCGGCACTAAAATAAATTTGTCGAACCGCGTTCGCTCTCTTAATCGATATTTATAGCATGGGATCGAGTGTTTCTCCGTTTCCGACGCGATACCTGTATCGTTACAGTTTCGCGCGATATTTTAATCGAGATTTGAAGACGAAAGAGAAAAGTAAAGGAAAAGAGAGATAGAGAGAGAGAGAGAGAGAGAAGGAGACGGAGAAACGAAAGGAGCAATAGCGATCCAACCGATTTGATATAATTAGATTTACATCGCGTTTCAGATTCGTCTCGTTTGAACGGAATCCAAATATTACTGTAAATTACGGGCAAAAAGGCGGCCACGACCCGCTTTCTCTCAGTCTCTCGATTTTATTTCTGTTGGCTAAACCGGGTTAACCCCTTTTTTTCAGAACGTTAGCTTGCCGTTATTTTCTAACGGACTACAGATATATATATATATATATACATAAAAGAAATGGAATCTCTCTCTATATATAGAGAGAGAGGGGGGAGAGAGAGAGAGAGAGAACAAAAGAGGGGGAGACCGCAGCGGCACGCATTCAGAAACGTAAAACTTTCGGCTGGGCGCAATCGGGATAAAAGCTTCAAAGATCGGCAAGTGCTGTCACGTGGGGCGGTAGAACGCGGATTATCAAGCTACCGTTTAACCAAAATACCCATTACCGTAATACCGGCTGCACGAAATGGCAACTCGAAAGAATGGAGAACACGCGATAGCGAAACGAATGGGAAAATGGGGGGTGGGCAGGGGGAATGAGAGGTAGAAAGTGGTAGAAATATCTCGGGGTCGTGCGTATTACTTAGCGTTGATGAGAGCTTTAATAACAGAAAGGGGAAAAGTGAAAAAAAGACGAAACAGGGTAATCGGCGTTACTGGAATCGACGAATTAATTGAAACGATGGAACTTCACCGAGTGAGTCCTAAGCGCGCGATTTTACAAGAGGGAACGGACGCGTTCGTTCGATTTTCCATTTATTGGTTAAAGAGACGGGGACGCGAGGCTGAAATAACCTCGAGAGTGGCATTATATTAAATCTCGAGACGATCTGTTTACCTTTGTCAAGTCGCTGTTACGCGCGTACACGTGGCTCGAATAGGTGATGGATACCGGTGTGCATTGAAGAACTTGGCCGCGAGACAATGAATCACGAGACAAAGAAACTTGGGAAATCGAACCGCATGTAGGTAAATTCCTGCGATGCTTAAATACTTGTCCTTATTACGCCGCTGTCGCCGTGGTCGCGTATGTCACGAGATCCCTTTGCGCGCGACACGTGACGCTCGAACGCGTAATGCCGCATCAATCTTCCGCGAAGCAAGCAACGTAGCAGCGTTTGAACCATCGATACGACGTATCCGAGAGCGCTGCTACCCTCTGTTCGTCGGCTACATAAAGGAGATTTCACATAAAGGACAGGCAATCTTCCGGGGGATAAGTCGAAACGTACATAGACTTCTTTCAGTTCGAAGATGTCGCATTCAATTAGAAGGCAAGGCTCTCCTCGCAAAATTGCAAAAGACTTTGCGCGCGATCCAGCGATGCACGAGCGACGATACGGCCGGTTTCATTATCTCATACCGTTCTCCATTTTCTTTCTTTCTTTTTTACCCTCCCCCCCCCCCATTCCTCTCCTTCCTCCTCACGCTTCTCCTCCTCCGCCTGTTCTTCATTCTTCGTCCTCATCTCTTTTCTACTTTTCTTTACGTTTCCCGCCGGTTTCCTCCGTTCGCTGTTACCCCAAGCACGCAATGAAATTTTATAAGAGCGGGCCAGCAAGCACGTAGCGACAATAGAAGTAGCGTGCGAATTGTTCGACGGCGACCTTCCTATTGATTTCCACCTGCGTCGATTTAACTCGACCTCGGTACTCACCCTCCCGATCCCACCTTCCCTTCCCACTCGGCTCGTCCCTCTGTGTTCCTCCACCACCTCCACCCCCGATGGTCCGTGCTCGACTACCCAATTATTGCGTAACGCGACCACCGTGCGCGCCGTAGAAAGACAAATAACGCGGTAATAACTCCGTGAATATCGCGAAAAGAAAAAAAAAACAATCAATGGGAATTTCCACCTCTCTGCCCGTTCGGTTTCTCGTTCGCTCGACGTCCGGGAAAAAACAGTTTTTCGAATGGCGGCGGTGGCGGTGCTCGGCGAAACGGTGCCACTTCCGTACGCGTGCACAGCGACGAACAAAAACGTCAGGCATATCTCGTAAGATTGGATGAGAAAGCCGGCTTCCGGTTGCCGAATATTTCGCTCTGATTTTTCGTTTCGCGAATGCAACGACGCGCGTTAATGGCCCGCGCGTTGTCGGCTCTTCCTCGTTTTCTTTTCCTTGCATCGCGGCAACAGTTTGTCAGGGCGCGTGTACACACCGTGGACGCAACTGCATTCGCCCGAATTCGTTTCGCCTTTTCTCACGTTTAAATCACGGAGAGATCGGCCGAAACGTTATCGTTTCGGCCGTGTTCCGACCGCATTAACGCGAACGCGTGCACGTCGAAGCTAATTGCACGCGACACGCAAAGTGTTTGCCATTGAAACGTGACGCGCGCGACACGGCGGCGATAAAGTTCCGCGAATGTGCCGGCTGATGAAACGGTACACGTTTTTCATCCCCTGTACTCAACTTTTGATTGCAGACGGTTCTACGCGCGGGGCACAATCCTTGCTCGCCTCCTCCACCACCGTCGAGTACTAATGCATTATGGAATTTTGTTACGAGTCACTAATTTGGAAGGAAGCGTGCTCGTTTCTCCTTCTCGTGTTCTCTCCTATTTTTCTCTTCAGCGGCGTTTGTTGTTCGTTCAGCGACCATAAAACAATTCGCCGTCGTCACGAGCAGTTAAACTTCGTTTCATTTGACGTGCTCTTTCCTTCTTTCTTTCTTTCTTTTTTTCCCCTTTCCTTTTATTTTCTTCGTATTCTTCTTCACGGGGAATTTCGCTCCGTTAAAAATGGAGAACGAGAAGTTCAAGATAGCGAATAGGTTTCACTCGCATCGATTTCCAAGTCCGTGTAAGCGCGCCTCGAAGTCTCGACTTACAGGTGAACGGAAACTAACAAAGGGTGAACCCTTGGGTAGCGAATTCTTCTAACGAAGGGAAACGCAAACATTTTATTTCGCAACTTTGAAAACTTGTCGAGCTAAACGAAAGAGCCTCTGAATTTTCTCTCCCAATTCGTCTTCTTTCTTTCTTCTGTCTCTCGCTCGCCTCGCCTCGCCTCGTTTCACGTCTTTTCAGAGATTCTTTCTCTCCTTTTTCTCAACTTCTGTTCCCTCGTCGAAAATTTCATTAAGACAATCAGACCAAGAGTATCAAAGTCGTCTATTTTGTACGCTCGTGCAAACCCTCCAAGGGGTAAGGATAATAAAATAACCGACTACGGTCCATAGAATATCGTTGAAAGCTATTAGCATGTTATCTGACTGACTGGCGAAGCGACCTTGGTCGCTTAACAATACAATCGAGAGAAAGAAAGAGGCACAACTAGAAAAGTTAAAAATCCCGTGTAGCCCGGACTCTTTAGATTTTAATTCCATTTCATCCAGGACCGCGGCCCGGTGAAATAAACCTTCCAATTAAAGGTCTCGACCGTCCTTATTTCAATTAAAATCTTTCTTCTCCCAACTGGTTCTACCCTCCGGTTCGCTCGATCGTAATAATCATCGCGTTGCAACGAGGATTTAAAAGAATCTATGCAATCTAGAACGAGCGATACTCGTCGATCCAACAAAGACGAGCCTACGACCGACAACGAGAATTTACGATCCACCTACGATCATTCCGTCCATGAAAACAAATGGCTGCGCGTTTTATTTCTGTCGTGTCTCTTTCCTTTCTCTTCTTTCCTTTCCTTTTTTTTTTTTTTTTTTTTTAAATTCTGTCGTCCCCTATACCACCCGTCGACTATCACGAACACCAACCCTGATTTCCCTCGATTCCCTCAAAGATCCTCGATCGGACGGGTTCGACTCTTACGTTGATATGATAATAACTTTTCTACGCCCTTGGGAGCGAAAGCTGCCAGAGAAAGAGAGGGAGAAAGAGAGTATCGACTGTGGGCAACGCTTTTTCACCAAAAAAAAAAAAAAAGAAAAAAAGAAAGTTTCTTCGAGGAACGTTTGCCGAATTCGAATCTCACCATTCCATCGCCCAGATTATGGACGACGCAGGGCAGGAGCGCGGTCGATCCAGATTGGGCGGAGATCACGGTGGAATTTTCGGTGCCGAAGCTCATCGGAAGCGTCGGCGGCAGGTCGATGTCCAACGGTTTCATGCTGGCCTCCAACGAATTCCCGTTCGTCGGGACGATCTCCGCCGTGACCGCTGTCGGATACTCTGAAAAAATAGCCATTAAATCAAAGGAGTCGTAGCCGTGTAGTGGAAAGACACCAGGAGGGATGGTTTTCCCCGGCACAAAGCTCGTTGTAGCCACGAGAAGGATCCTCTCGTTAAGAGGCTTTCCTCTGGACTTTACTTAACCCCTTTCCACTCTGCCGCCTATCGACCCCTTCAAATATTTATGCGCGCCTCGTTCGAATAGCCCCGAAGGATTTGTCAGGGATTGTTCTTTCCTCGTGTTTATTTGCCAACAGCGGGCGAGCGAGGAGGGGAACGGCGAGCAGGCGTCAAATGGAAATGTCAGCGAGAAGTCGTGCAAGAAATCGCGGTGGACGATAGTTGCAGTTGGCCGCCACTTTTGTCGAACACCTCTACAGACGCTTCCAATTTTAAATTTTAAACATTCGGCTAACCGTGACACGTCGCGAAAAGTCGCAAGTCAACTTTCGTCCATCCATCTTTGTACAACGGCTTATAGTTTTAACGCGGTTTGTTGTTTGCCACTTTTGTCCGAACCAAGTTTCATCGAAACCTGTAAATCAGGACTGAACGACCGTCGTAAGATAAGCGGGAAAAAATACGATCGATCGACCGGTTCGAGTATGTACAACGTAATGCACGAATACACGGGGGATAAGAGTGCGTTAATAGAACGTTGACGTTCTTGTCAAAGGAATCCTAAAGAAACTCGATGGAAGTGAATTTCCTTTTTCCAAGGATAATACGATCCTCGAATCATTTTAATGATAATTTAAAGTTTCAAGTTGTCGGGGAGGGTGGGTAACTACGGACTTACTGTTGCTCGAACGAAGTTTGGAAAACTTCATCTACCCGAAAAGAAAAACGTTCTCTTGTCAGCGTCGTCGCTTCCTTACTTATGCTAGTGGGTCGTTGGCGGTTTTCTCGTTCCTTCCCACCGCGTCGCTATATTATCCCTCTCCAGAGAGGAAAGAGGGGAAGGGGTGGGAAAGAAGTAGAAGAAAAAAAAGAAGAGGTAAGACCAAGAGTAAAGATTGCGATAGGAAACTTTCGCGTGTATATTAATTACATTTGCCTTCTTTATACGTGCGTGCAGGAAGGGGCATCGGCCGGAGATACACGCTCGCGAATCTGTAACGTATCTCCGCGATGAATTTTTATACCGCTCGGGCAAAAGCGAATTAGGAATTGCAATTTTAATAAGACCCGGATAATCACGAGCGTCTGTGCGCGCGAGCACATCATTTAAATTCCGTCTGGCTGATCGTACACGAATTTAATACCCATCCAGTCAGCTGGTGCGCAATCGCGCCAGATATACGCGCATAAAATCGCATCGGAGCCGGTCAGATAAAGATTAAAAGGCACTCGACGATCAGGTTTTGCGACCTGATGGTTCGATGTCTTCTCGCGAGGCGAACTCGGATTTTTCGCGGGTGTTCGCACGGCCGAATAAAAGTTTAGTTCTTCGGGTAAGAAGAAGGATGGAGACTCCACGGGGCGGAGAGTGTTTAACGAATGCAGCGAGTTCGGGGCTCTGCAGATTCTCTTCCTCCGTTTTCAATCCGCCCGTCGCCGGTCGCCTATTATTCAACGGAACATCAAATCTACTAGCCGGGGAATTTTTCCATTCGTCCGACGCCCGACCCAACTTCGAATTCTCTGCGAGTCGTCGGATCCGACTAATATACATACGCCGCGGTTGCAACGGCGGCGGCGACGAAAATTGGTAAAAACAAATAGCGAAACTTCCAAAGGGGAAAAGTTTCATTATTTTCGAGAGCGAGAGCGTGCCAAGAATTTCTAATCTTAAAATAATAAGAATTTAAACGGGCCACGCCCGCGTTATGAAGCGTAATATCTGCACGCCGTGAAATAGACGATATAAAGACGCGGCCGAGTGAAAATTTTTTTGTTTTGCCCCGTTTCGTTGCTGTTTTCTCTCTCTCTCTCTCTCTCTCTCTCTCTCTGGCAGCACTTTATCAAACGTATTTTCACGCGTTGCTTCTTGTTCGGCGTGATCTAATTAATGGACAGCCAGTCCGAACGAGGTAATCAACATTTTAAAAGCTAGCGGGCGGGTAAATCAATTTCCCGCATCGGCGTGACAAGCCGGCTTTTGTAATCGTTCTGACCGACCGCGAGCCGTTAAACGAGAATCAACCATCGCACCGCCGCGACGACGAGAGGGAAGGAAAAGGTGGAGAAGGAAAGAAGCAAAGAGTAATCCCGTGACAGGAATAATCGACTGTAAGGTGTCGTTATTACTGAAAACTTGGGAAATGAGATACTTCTGGAGCTTAAGGAACGGCAATATTCGTAAATTCCCATGCGCTAAGCGTCTTTCAGAGCAATTTAACTACCAACTTTTCTCCGACGCTCGCTAAACTAGAAATAAAACACCACGATGTCGAGCTCGTTTGTTTCGCCGTAACTTCAGCCCGCTGCGCGCCATCCCTCGCGCGGTTGGCAACTTCAACCACCTAGGCTACAATTTGTTCCCAATGCGAGGGAATAACCTGCCTACGACTCCGGTGACGTAAAATAACGCGCACGTTCCTTCCTTTTTCGCATCGCAGTTGGTACACAAAGTGGGTGCACGGCTGCTTTCGAGAGATCGTTTCGCCCTCTCGAAATCTCGGGTCGCGACGAAAGGCGGCGCGCCTTACGTACATCGCGAGACACGCGTAAATCGCTGCCTCGGGGGCAAATTTCTCGACAATGTTCGAAACGTCTTAGACCTCGTTCCCGTGTTTCTTAGACGCGTCTGACACGCGGCAGCTCTAATAAGTATCGTAAGTTCGAAACACGTAGCACGCGTAGGCACGTAACCGCGCTTACCTCCGGGCATAAGCTCCATCGAGGAACAGTCACGAAACACGCATCGTGTTTCGCCTCGGTGCGTTCCCTCGCATTCGAACGAGAGCGTCATCCGGCAAACTATTTTTCGGGCTCGAAATCCCACCGCCGCAGAAGCAAAACGAGCATCATTCACACGCATGCACCAGCCGGCTCCTGGCAGATGGTCGTAGATATAGAATGCTAAACTGAATCGCGCGCGTGGTTTCCCTCTTCTCGTTCATCCAAGTATATTTAGCGAGTAAACTGATGAAATACCGCGACACTGCACACCGGGTTCACCCCCTTCCCGACACGTCGTGTATCTCACTCTCTCTCTCTCTCTCTCTCTCTCTCTCTCTCTCTCTCTCTCTCTCTTTCACGCGATCCGACCGACGCGACACGTCACGATGAAAGCCGACCTTTTTACCGCGCATTCTTTACACAACCAGCACGGAGACTCGCGCGGACTCGCGGAGAGACGCTTTTTGTCCGGCTACGAACGCAATAAAGCGAATAACCGTTCATAAACGAGCCTGACCGTGGCCTCCACCCCGGTTGGAGAGAAGACCTCTCGAAGAGGGGAGGAGAGGAGGGGAACTATAAATTTACTACCCGCTGTTCGTTTATCGAATACCTGTTTATCGTATACGGGGGCACAGGCTCGGGCCACGTTTTCTTTAGCTCCCGCTATGCTTCCCTAAGTAAATCGTCGAGCCTTGCGTGGAAGCTGCACGGCCGGGTAAACGGCTCGCGTCTAAAATTTGCATGAGCGATGCATCTCTCGGTGTGTTGCTAAATTGAACAAGTAACCCCCGCTGGTATCGCTTCACGCAGAAACAGATTAAATTAAGTTACGCGCGGAGGCACGGCCCCCGAACGAACTCTGGGAAATCTGCGGCGAACCAAGACGGGTGGCTGATTCCTCTCGCGAAAGGAGAATGGTAAACAGCGTGTAATAAATTCCGTGGGATGGAAACACTCCAGTCCCGTGGATCCAGGGGATTAAATTTGACTGAAATCTGACATGAATTTGACGCGAGGTAGATACCCCGTTATTTTTCACGGCAAATCGCGATAAAACGATGCCGCTCTTATACAGGGTGTTACGTAACCGTTGTGAGATCCACTTCGGGAGCTGATTGTACGCTTAAAAATAATGAAAGAAATTCATATAAATATATGTTCTATCTGTCTATGAGATATAATGAATTTTCTGTTTTAATTACTTTTACAAAAGATGCTCGAAATGACCACTTTGCATTTGAAGACAAGTCTGCACGCGTCTTGTCATTGATCTGGTTACTCTCTCTCTCTGTCATTCTTGGTGTTTCTTGAATTTGTCGGAAACCTTGCTCTATTCTATTTCGTAGTATTTCAGCAGTTTCAATCGATGTTGCGTATACAATAGATTTTAAATGTTCCCACAAATGAAAATCTAATGGATTGAAATCTGGAGAACGAGCAGGCCATGCAATAGGACCTCCACAACCAACAGTTTGCACATTTATTTGCAAAGTGTTGATTTAAAAATTGTCTAGCCACTCGGCTAAAATGCGGCGGAGCTCCATCATGCATAAACCGCATACAAAGTTTAATATCGACTGGAACTTCCTGTAATATTTCGTGTAAACGCGTGCTCAGAAAATCAACGTACTTTGTGCCTGTTAGTTTCCCATCAAGAAAAAAAGGTCCAATTAAAAATTTATCAATTATTCCTGCCCATACGTTTAAACTNAAAATTGAATATACCATCCCTGGTAAAACTAGCTTACTAGAGTTTGCTCTGTTTATAAAATTCATTATATCTCATAAACGAAGACAGATAGGACTGTATTATTTATATATTTTTATGACTTCTTTTCATTATTTTTATGCGTACAATCAGCTCCCGAAGTGAGTCCCACAAGTTACGAAACACCCTGTATAGTTGTCCGCTTGGGAATTTATTGCTCGTCTTGACACTCGTTCGTTAAAAATCGCTGATACAATTCGATCGATGTGACGAGTCAAAATCACGATTGAGATACAACTGACAAAAATGGACGGCATAGGAACGAGGATAGGAACGTCGGACGCCGCGAGATTTCCCTTCGTTCGAAAGCGCGGAATTCTCGCGATGCTTTATTACCTGTGTTTAAACGTTACGATGCAGCAGTTTGTTACGAAGTATCTATGCCGGTAATCTACGGTGAACGTACATATTTACTTCGTGCATCTGTTGGCGCACGAAAGCGTGAATCGCGATTTATACTCTCGCAGCAAAGTTAAACTTTATTTGCAAAACTTTCGTTCATTCATTTGCATAATGAAAACACGTGACATTTCCATTAATTCCTCCACCTGTTCGTGAACGAGACTTGCACTTGTTGAAATGAGCGAACGCGAAGAATTATTGATTATTATTGGAGTGAGAGAGAGAGAGAGAGAGAGAGAGAGAGAGAGAAAGAGAAAGAGGAGAAAAAATGAAAGGGAACGAAATCGAAGCAGACTGTCAACAATTTTCGAAAGAGTGCTCCCGCCCGCATGGTCTCTCCAAGGGTTCATAATGCTTTTCGTTAAAGAACGGCTCTCGAAATGATCGAATTTCAGGTGCAATTTCGGTTCGATGAGGCGGTAATTCGATAGCAATAATGGTCACGCGTCAAGAGTCCACTGTTAATCGACAGCGAACCAGCTATTTTGTCGTTCCTCGCCAATATTATAATCGACCGGTGTTGCTCCACTGCTCCAGAGACATATCTGTAATTTATTAACTCGTAATTTGAAACGCCTCCGCTTAATTGCCGCATTACCGAACGAACGAACGAACGAACGAATGAACGGACGATGGATCGGCGTAATTTGCGTGTTGGATAACGCGCTCCTTCGCAGATATCGCCGAGATTCGACGAGTTATTCGCTTCGAAGGCGGTTGAAATGGCCCAGCGTAAAATGGCAACGTATATACCCCGCTCGTCATCTCTCGAATTTTGTAATAACAGCATTTGCTCGATTAACCGACAGCGACGAATAAAGGGCGTTAAATGGCTCCGGTGTAAAAGGGCAACGGGCAACGATAATGAAATAACGGAAAGAAAGGGGCTTAAAGGTTTTCGCAGCGCTGGAAGATCCGGCGAGAATCCCGAGTTAACTTCTTAAAAGGAGCGGCACGGAAGATGGAACTTAGCTCGCGGGACCGCATTAGCACGTTAAACGGTCTACATTAAGGACTCTATATAATAGCTAATTCGGGACCTGTTTGAGAAACGCTATTGCTTCCGGTGAATTTCTTCGTAATCCGGTGTCTTTCAGCCAGCGGCTCGATGATAAAGCGTAAATGATCGATAAAGTACACACCTCGGCGCGCCTCGGCGACGCGCATAAAGAAGCGTGCACAAACTTTTACGAAGATCGAGAACCATACGCGTGGATGGATCAATTAGCGGCGGACGATCGCGATCGAATCTTGTCTTTCGAGTCAAACGGCGATTAATTGCACGCTTGTCTTCGAGGATTAAGAATCGCAGGATGGATATTCCCCGAGTTATTAGCGCGATGATACACCGTCAATCGGGAAATTCATATTCATCCGAGAGGGAACATGAATAATGAATGCAATTTTCAGCGAGAGTGACTTTTAGCCTCTCCATTGATAAGAACGTGAGTGCGAACGAGATTAAACCGGCGAGATTTGAAGACCTTTCTTAAAGGTCGATTCTTCTCAAAGATCGTTACCGATCGAAACACTCTCCAGACAGAGTAGATCTAATTTGCTTGAAATTCTTCAAAAAGCAAGGTAACTTTACGCCTTTAGACGTAGAGAATCTCGTCGAAGGGCGGCCGCGTTAAGCTTTTTTACGGTTGATCGACGTCGAAGCGGGGATATTATTGCGGTGATACGATGCCGGCTGGAAAGTGGATTCGAGTGCGACACGAGGACGGTAAAAACGGTATAAAAGCGATGGTAGGCGTTGGAAAAACTGGGAATCGGTGCCCAGATCGGGGCAGGGGATCGTTGTATTACGCGGCTGCCCTCGACAAAGCTACGATTACGAATGCCGTGTAGCGTGGAATGGATTTCGCCGTGGGCGAAACGACGAGACATTCCATCGAGCGAAACGCAAACATTCGAGGGCGAATACTCGTGTACAGCGTAGAGTGAAACAAACGTGCCGAGGAAACCGAGAGAAACGTACGTGAACAGACGTCTATACTCACCGGCAGTTCGCACCAGCACGTTGAGCAGAATGGATAGCAAGAGGGTGGTAGCCCGGTATCCGTGTATTATGATCATCAGCCACCTCGATACGTTGAATCCCGCGCCGTGCCACAGACCCGTGGCCTCGTGCACCATATTTTTCTGCCTCGCCCTTTTTCACCCAGCTTGCCGTCAATTGCCACCACCTCGTCGTCCTCCTCGTCGTCCTCCTCGTCCTCGTCCTCGTCCTCGTCGTCGTCGTCGCTCTGGCCTCGCCCGCCCTCATTCACCGTGTCGCGTCGTTCCTCGATCCGTCGTTAACCCTTCGACCATCGTCTGCGCGATCCAGGTCCCCAGCCACGCCGGTTTTATCTGAGATTGAAAACGCTCCTTACACGGAACGAACTCTCGTAGGTTAGATCCAAACTGCTACTCTACCTCTGGCTACCTCGAGACGCCGTTCTCCGAAAACTCGATTCCCCCGCGTCGAATCGCACCCGTTTTCGATATTTCTCGATATTTCGAAAACAGTCAGAGGGAACGTTTTTATCGCGTGCCGTCGTGTTGCAATCGTTGCCTCTCCGCTTCGAGCGAGGATTGATTAGCGGCGATCGTGTGAAGAGAGAAAAGTTTCTGTTGCCCTGGAAACCTAGGAAGCAGAATCGAGCTCCGTAGCTAAAACGCCGTACGGCCGAGAGTAACTTAACCTCGGATCAATTGCCCCGGTCTTGCGGTGATATCGTGCCGGTTCACGGATTATCGAGTTCTTCCCCGCGAGGCCACTAACGCGTTTTGCGGTGTAAACGGACGACGACCGAGCGTCGTTAAAGGTTAATGCTAATTTGCACAAATTACAGGCGAGAGCGAATGATCTCGCAAGGAGGAGGGGGGGGGGGAGGGGGGGAGGGGGGTATTCAAGCTTTCGGATTTTCGAGCGTTCGATCGAAGCGTGGCAGAAGTCAGTTGCTCGAGCTTGTCTTATCGCGATCGTACGATAGGCAGGAGTGGAGCGAGTGCCACAAAAGGCTCTGGCAAGTTGCTCGGTCGTCGTGTTCGACTATTGTTCGGCGCAGCTATAGATTACGAGCGTCTCGAAACGACTCGAGACACTCCAAGTTCCTTTTCATGCGTCCGAAGAACAAGCTGGAAGATACACGTGTCGAAACGGTCGACGGACTTGAACTGCTCCGCGGTGTATATTGTTCGAGTTTGCAAGACGTTGCGGCGAGCCGTCGTCGGACGATAGCCTCTGGCGCTAAGGTTAATAGTATGCCTCCGGGATATGAGCGGGGAGAGGGCGAAAGGACTTTCTTGCTTACCAACTTCTCATTCAGACTTCATTCGGTAACTTTCTCCGCGTAGAACGTTCACCGAGTTCTGCACGATATCAGAAATACAGGATGCTCTAGGCCATAGAGTGGAGCGCGTTTCCCCGGTTCTCTCTTTCTCGAGTGGCTTTCAGCGTTCCCGCGCTACTGTTCCACAGCCAACGGGCTACTTCTCTGAAGAAAGAAATCTCTGCCTTCCTTTTTACCCGACGGTACAGAGATACCGACACACAGGCGGCTACAGAGAGGGAGAGAAAGAGAGAGAGAGAGAGTCGACGAGTAACATTCGCGCTTCCACTCCGCAGCTTCTACCTCGCCGCTACAAGGTTTTTCTTCGCTCCTCCGAGTTGGATATTAACGCGATCGCGTGAGAATTTCGCGATGCTTTCAGCCAACACCAACAGGGGTGGCTTAATTTCTAACGTTAATATTACCACAACGGCGAAAGCTGTTCCACGCGTCCGATTCGCCTGCTGTCCCCTGGACCGCCTTCTTCCGTCGTATCCTCTTATAACGTAACATCCGCCGCTGGTCTACTTGCCTGCATCAACACCGATAACGAACCGGTCGTGCCGCCGTCGTCTTCACCGCCGCCAACTGTCGAGACTTCCGTGTCACGGTTGTCCTTCCTTCCGCGAATCTGCCGGGTTCCTCTGCCCTGATTTTAATTGGAAATACAGGAAATGTCACCGTTGAAGGAGAAGGGTCCGGAACTGGCGGAATTCGCACACGGCTGACTCTCGCACGAGGGCAGTCGACGGGTAGAAACTTCTCTGGATATTACGAAACCAGATGGACGAGGCGAAACACGACGACGATCATTAGGTGACGCGACTAATATTCTGGGCTTAAGCGGACCCTCGTCACGCCTACTTTCTCCGGTTCCTCGTTTACGGATGTCTCAACCGTCCCAACGCTCGACGTCGCTCTCGCTGCGCGTTATAACAGAGAGACGCTCGGCACGTTATACGGTTTCCATCGTTTCTTCTCAACGAGGCGACCCTTTTCAACTCGGGTGTGTATTTTCGCTGCTCGGCTACCCTCAACCCGGCGTGTACGGAACTGTGCAACTTCTCCTGCTCGCTCGGCGCAAACCGTCGTCGTTTCACGCGCCCGTTGCGTTCGTCTCAGCCCAGGCACACACCCGAAGATTTGCCAAAGAATTTCGCGGGCCCCTGGCTTTGTGGATATTGCGCAAGTTTGTGGAATGCAGCGGCAGGCTGCTGCGGCTATCGTGCAAGCCGTCTTTAGCAGGCCGAGTTAACGCCCTCTCCGATTTCTGTTGCCTTCCTTGCGGCTCAACTTCCTCCAGTTCCACCCCACCCCGAGGGAACCTGCGTGGAACTCCACCTGCGTATATACGTGCACGCATACGTGCACGTCACTGCGCGAAACGTAGGGTAGGGGCGCGTGGTCCTGTCTTCGTGGAAGATCGTCGTGGTTAACCCGTTCCTTTGAGGAATTTCAGTTGTCCCGCGGCTGGTATTCGTGCAAGGCCTAGGATCGAGCTGCGTTGCTTCAGGGATTACGGATGACTCGGTTCCTTAAGGGTCGACTGGTGCCTGATGACGTTGTTCATCCCCCTGAAATTCGAGCACACGAGATATAGCATAGCAATCTGCACGGCGAAAGAGCGTCTCGCCCTAGCGTTAGACTAGCACGACGTTCGTAAAGTCTTAATGGTAACCGAGCTTTCTCGTACTGTGTCTCGTTCAAGTTCAAAGTCCCGAAATCTTGGGAATCTCTAACACGAGGGAAACGAAACAGAAACGTCGGCGGAAAAGAGAACGTCGCTTCAATTCTTCCTTTCCCTTTGGCTTTCTCTCCTTTCAGGCTTTCAGTCCCACGAGCGCGTTTCAGTCCTAACTCGCAACAGCTCGTAATTCTCGCGTTTACGTAGGCGGATTTTAATTCGTCGCATTCAATTGAGAACTCGGGGCTGCTGGCTGCGCGCGCGGTAATAACCATCGGACAATAAAGTCGCAATTAGTTTCGGTGAATTAATCTCGGCGAATGCTCCGGGCTACTCTCGTTGTTGTTTCGATCATCCGGGAATTGTAAACTCGTAGAAAACATGCATCTCGCGGGACACGGCGAGTATAAAACTCTATCCGGCCGACGACGCGCAACGTATGCACGTATGTATGTATGTATGTATGTATGTATGTATGTATATATGTACATGTACGATTTCGTTTTCAACGCGTTAGTCAACCGGTGGGAATTACGAGAGACAGTGAGAATATATATGTGTGTGTGTGTGTGTGTGTGTGTGTGTGTGTGTGAAAGAGAGGAGAAAGAAGAAAGAGAGAATCGTTTCGAAACGATTCGACGGAAGAAGACTCTTGGAGAGACGAGCGGACACAGGACGGTGGAAATTTTCACTTGGACGCGGCGAGGCTGAAGATGGGAAAAGCGACAGAGGCGGCATTTATTAAAAGATCATCACTTATTAGAGGATCCTCGAGAAGCGAACGAATCGTTGCGAAACGGCGGCGTTTCACCGGAGCCGACTAACACGGCACGGCGCACAGCGCGCGATACGTCCTGTGAAAAGCGACCTTTCCCTCGACCACGAGAGCACTTCTTCCTCTTCCTATCTTTACCACGCGAAGCGTTAAGCTCTTGGAAGACGGCGCGAAATTTAACGAGCGACTAAGGTCGCGAGCAAGTCGCGCAGCAGTGAAAAAGATGGGGAAAATCGGGGCTGAGGCAAACGGGATATGAACGATGATGCGGCTCACGTTGCTGGAAGAGGCAACAACAACAACCACCGATGGCGGTAGCGCATCAACGATAAGCTTGGAGTGCGAATGTGTGCACGAGACACAAGTGAAATTGTTGGCAAATGTTCCGGCGTAAATGCATAATTTAAGAGATAAACTGATAATAAATCAGAAACTTGGAAACATGGCGTCGGGATTAAGTTTTTGAGGACCCGTGTAAGATCGTTCGCGAGATCGTGCGGTGAACGATGAAGAAAAACAAGCCGACGATATTTCTTCGTCCATTTTTTACACCAGTGTGTAACCATACCGTGTGGCGTAAAGGCGTAAAACGTGAATTATTCAGGGAGAGGTACGAGGTCGTGTGCGGATGTGCGGGTGTGCGGGTGTGCGCTCACTGTCTTTCGGCTTCCGAGCGTGTATGTACCTTCTTAGTTTACGTTAAGGTCTGCGGGTGTAACGATTATGGTTACTGCCAGCAGGCTATTATCTCGCACACGAGAATTCCACAGTCATAGGTATATTTTATGCACCGTTGAAATACGCCTCGGCTGTTAAATATTTTCCAAGCCATTCAATGGGGGAAATTACCAAACGTGGATCCAAGGATTCTTTCTGCTCGGCTTCACCCGTCCGAGCATGAAAAAAGTTTGCCTGTATTTGGTTTCACCTCGCCGTGGGTTTCGGTCACTTTTGAAACGCGCTTTCGCTTCGATAAAAGGAATTCCTCGAAGTAAATGGAAAAGTGTTACCTGAATCTTTCACCTGAATCGTTTAAAAGTTCTCTGGGTAAGTGAAGAGATTCGATATTTCGAACGGCCATCCTCCCGATGAATTCTCAGAGTTGAAACTCGTGGATCGTTCTGAATAATAAGCACGTTAGAAAAACGCGAACTACTCTTAATCAGTGCTCCTGTGCTTCTGGCGTATCAGTGAGTAACTTGAGTTTTTTTTTTTTTTTTTTTTTCATCGACTCAATTTCTCTTATATCGAACGTGTAATAACTCGGTTTTCCTCTTCACGACACACGCGACCCAATTTCCTCTCGCCAATGCTTTCCGCCGTACCGCTTTCGAAATTAAGACCGCGGACGATTAGAGCCTCGATAAACACGCCAACTCGTATCGAGGCTTAAGGTTCGTGCTCCGCGTTGAGAAATCTGGCTTTATTCTGATCCGTGGAAAAAGGGGAGGGGAGGGGGTGCGTGATCGGTTTGATTCCTCTGGAATCTATCGAGGAACAAAGTCACGGAGTTCGCAGACGGATACGTATCTTCTTGGGGAATATGGCGGATTAAGGATTTAGGATCAGGAGCAAAGGATAAAGAGCGGTCGACTTTATGAATACTAATTGGTATCCGGGAGGACATTTGTCGGCGGAATTTATCGGGTTTATCGGACGTGAACCCCCTGTCGTAGCTCGACAACGGGCTCATTGAAAAGGCACGGGTCCCAGACGGATCGGCCGTCACAGAGGAAAGCATGACGAAAAACTTAATACCGGAAGAGAGAGAGAAGAGGAGCATATTACGTAAAGAAGCTTTGACGGAAGAGTCGACCGTTGAATAATGTAGATTCCTCTATCTGCTCTTCTCCCTTTTCTCTCTCTCTCTCTCTCTCTCTCTCTCTCTCTCTCTCTCTCTTTTGCTTTCGCATAAACACGTATCGTTCGTACGTGAACGGGATGGAACGGTTTGGCCTGGATTTGGCATCCGTACTTGGTAATTAAGTTCACTCCGCTGTGTACAGATTTCTCTCTCGCTCTTGTCTCTCGGTGGTACACGAAATTGCACCATTGCCGTGACGATTAAAGTGCCGATAA